GCACAATGCAATGCTATTGTACAATGGCATAATAATTAAATCCGAAGGTGTGAGTTAATAGTCACAATGGCAAATAGCCTAATTGGAGGTGATAGCAGAATTAAACGCCCGATAAAGGACAGATACTTTAATGTTTCAAAATCGTAGGATACGTTCTCTATATGCAAGATCCGTATTTCTATATATTGAAAAATTTAGAAATAAATTATGTATTTTTAAACGTAAAAATAATACAATTGATTTTTTATTTTCTGATTAATTGATCGTCACAAGTAGTGAGACGTCATCTATTGTTGGATAAGCCTTGCAGCTGTTAAAAATATCAGATACAATCATTTTTCTTTTTCTCTACAAAATTTATCATCCCTAGATTTTTATATAATCTAGAGATTATATATAAATTAAGAGTGGAAAAGCTTTAATCGATTATTCACTTAAAATATCGCTTGCTTTTATCGCGAAGTTCTTAATCCCTGGACGTATACGTACGGCGTTCGTGATTACATCGAGGGGGTCGACTGAGGGGTGGCTGCGAATGAAAATAGCGTTTTATCTCGCGTGTGCGATTACGATTCTTTCGCAGATTCGCGAGTAAACGAACGTATTCTCTCGCCAGACCGGAAACCGATGGAGCGGTAAACAAAGATGTGCCGCGGTACTTTTGTCCTGCGATCCTCCGGCCGTTCCCACCCTCCGTGGAAACGCGCAGATTATTCTATTACACGTTACGTAAACATCGAGAGCACAAACGGACGACGCGAGTACCCCCAGAGCGGAATTCTCTCTTTCTCTCTCTGCAAGCTCCGGTGCACGTTGCTGTTTGCTCTGAAAATGCGTTATTGTTTCACCGTGATAAAAAATTCAACGTTTGGATAATTACATCAGACCTGATCGATCGACAGACGGGGAAAAGGGGGTCGAGAGGGTGAGAGAGAGAGAGAGAGAGACGATGGTGGCCCCGAGCGACTTTTCACTGGGTTACTGACTTACTTAGTTCGCCCGTTTTTGTCAAGCGCGGCACTAAAAAAATATCAGAAAGGGAAGGGCGGATTTCGCGGTTTAACGATCGATCGATCGTTTTAAAAGTAGAGATGTCTTGATTCTTTTTATTTTACTTTTTCTTTAAAAATGTATATAGTGGGAGAGGCGTCGAGAGTGTTCGTGTACTTTCAATAATCTACTTTGAAAAATGCTTCCTTCTTTCCTAACAAAGTTTTAATAATAAAAGATTAATTGAGCGTTTTAATTTTTTTTTGTAAATTCAAATTATACATCTTAATTTTAAATATTTTTTATAATTATATATCTTAATTTTCGTGTTTTATTTCATTTATATTTGTTTCAAACGAGTTAATCTCTAACGCGTGATAGCGATTTAAAGAATGAATCTCTCATGATAAAAGAGCCAACTTCTGAAAAATATACATATTAAAAAAAAAATCAAATTAGTGTGTTTTAAAAAGTATACATTTTTAATTTTAAGATGCTTTGAAGATACATAAGCTCTTCAACTTTTCAATCGACGAGCTTTTCAAAGCTCATCCATCGCGATCGAAGGATCCCGTTTGTCCATCCGCTCTCGCAGTTGGCTTCTTCTATCTCGAGAAACACATTCTACTGCCCGTTTACATCCCTCGCGGATCAGCGAAAACGGAAAAATAAAATACGAAGGAAAAGCGAGGAATCACTCTACTTTTTGGTGGGGCCATCGGTGCGTGGCAGCTGCGATCCTTTCTCGAATCTCTTTCCTTTCGCGTATTCCCTCCTTTCTTCGGCGGACCGACAGGCCCGGTTTTCCCGGTAATCCCTTCGAGGAAGAGAACGATCACGAGGGATTTGGAAGGGGGTCGAAAGGAGAGGGAGGGACCGATTCTCGCGCGCGCAGAAGCGGAAGAAACGAGAACGGCGCGAGAGAGGACGACCCCGCACTGTTTGCCTTTTATTAAACTCTTGTTAAACGCCGCCTTTCTCCGCACACACAATTGAATCGGCAAAACAGCGAAGATAATGCCCCTACCGTGCTCCGTATACGCCCGCAGGAACCGTAGGAAGAGAGAGAGAGAGAGAGAACAGGAGAAAAGAGGGTGGCAGGTAAGGGAGAAAAGAGAGAGAAGAAAGACTCACCGCAAACACCAATTCCTTGTACATCTTGAAATGGACACCGTGTAATCCGTCTCTTTATATAGCGACTGCGGGATCGCCCGGAATCCTTCAGGAAAGGATCGCTCGCGTAGCGATCCTCGGCGTGAAAGACGACCGAATCGGGCCGGTCGATCGATTCCTTTTCGAAAGGGGCCCCGTGAAAATCACATGGCCCACCCTCCGTTCGACGGCCCTTCTCTAATGAAAATATTTGGATGTTTCCAACAAAATCGACACGGCTATCGAAAGACTCTACCGTTTTGGCTTCAAAGGGCTGTAAATTCAAGTCTCTTTCTCGATTATACGCTATATACAATCCTCCGATGAAGCCTTCAACATTCCTCCGCATAGGGGAGAAAAAGCGTTTTAATTCGTATACCTATGACACATTAAAAAAAAATCTCGATAATTTCTTTACAATATTTTAAAAATGATTATTTAAAGCTTTTATCTTAAAAGAAATTTACGTTTTGCTCTTTTTATTTGTACAATTTTTCCTCAGAAAAATGTGTTTGATATTACGAGGGTGGAGAAAATCGAGTGTATGTGGGCGTGTGTAACTGGATATTAACACTTCTCGTTTGTGAATCAATGCGATATCGATTAGGAAAAGCAATAAATAAAAAAAAATAAATAAAAATCCGCATGTGTTTTCCCGCACATCCTCTATCCGCGTCGATTATTATTATCCGTAGCGCTTGTAGCAACCCGTTGCATCACCGCTTCACTCTGCTCTCGGGCACGCATCAGTGACACGTTTGTTACAAAAAAAAAAAAAAAAAAAAAAAAAAAAAAATGCAGCTTCCGAGTAGGAGCAAACAGTGAGTTCCTGAACGGATAAAGCTGACTCGTGTGAGTGCATGAGCCGATACGTTCATCCATACACGTATACGTTAGCTGTCTCCGGACAGAACCTTTCGAGGTTGACTTCTTGAGACACCAGCGGGGCGGAAACTCGAGACGTATAGCATCGCGAAAGGAGGCGAGTTAATCCTTCGAGACAACTAGGAGCCGCGGCGCGGAATGGAAGGGCGCGGGAAGGGGGGGGGGGCAGGAATCCGATGG